AGGACAAAGGCATAAGGTAGAATTTAATATGGTAAAAACATGTTGTGATAGCAGTAAGTTGTAACTTACTTTCAAGGGTTTATCTCTGTAGCTGGGATGGCCCTATCATTAGGTATACTCAAGTAACTGTGTCAAGTGGCAGATACTAGAGACTGGCTGCGAGGTATTAGAAGGCAGAGGTCTGTGTACCTAACCAAAGCTTACATTGTTAAGGCACAATAGAGGATGCTGCCTAGTCACCAGTTTTGAAATATAGTAGGATCCCCATATACACAGGGGATACGTTCTAAGCTCTCCCCATCCCAGATACTGAAAAATGCAGGTAGCGAACCATATATACTGTACTTTTAAGGACAATAACCAATGAACATATATTTCTGTGTTTTTTTTCTTTTTTATATTTTTAATATTTTCAGGCCATGGAAAAGTGAAACTGTGGATATTGATCCCACAGATACAGGGTCATACTCTAAATTGTAATAGTTGGTTGGTTTTTGTGCATGGAATGGGAGAGGATGTCATTCTATTCTTTGCCTCAGACTATATATATAAAATAGTGGAGGGGGATGCTGGCCCTCACTTGTGAGTATGAAAGACAAACTATCCTAAAAGAAAGATTATGAAGTATACACAATGATTTCTTTGTCCTCTTCACTGCAGTGGAAAGTAGCAAATATAAAAGACCTTGATGAAATCATTGGAGACTGACATGTTACTAGGCATTCTGGGGGAAGCACAGAGCAATATGCCATAATTATCTTACCTATTACAAAAATTACTTTTGACTCTCTAGCTTGCCAAAGCTAGAGAGGGGGTCACTGACTGTGTTACTTTGCATGTGTGTGTATGTGTGTGGTTCCGTCACCTGACCTTACCCTTGCTATAAGGCCATTTCCCCCTTTGCTATATATTTAAGCTAATCTTTTTACACTTGTCATACATTTTCTATTAACTGGATTTTCTTTATGAAAGTGGGTTTACTAGCTTCCTTTATTTTATTCCTGTTAATCTTAAAAGTAAATCTGTCCTCAGGCCCTTAGGCTGAAATGTTTGATTTAATATTTGCATTTCAGGAGAGTCTTCAATATAGTCTTGACCTTAATGATTTTGAAGGTCAAAATCTGCATACCAATGCAATACCATGCTCGGCAGTTTAATAACATTGCCTTGACTCTCCAAGTTGCTCTCTTTCAGACATGTCTTTATGCAGAAATAAAATGAAGGACCTTCACATCCTGTAGTAGCTGAGGATTCTATATTATTTCACTGTGGTATGATGATGTACAGTGTAATTAGAAAACAACTAGAAGCTCTTATGAAGAACTATTCCCCAGTCAGTGATGTGCAGTGCATCCAACTCCCTGAAATTAAAAAGCATTCCTTCTCTGACTTTTAAGAGAAATCAGGTACAATAAAACTAAGAGAAGAATATGGTCATCAGGGAGACATAGATAATTGACACTTTACAATGCAAAATGGTTGCTCTATAAATATTAATATACATAAATCTGTAGTTGAGATCCAACGTGTTGCTCTGCGTGTGCCCAGTGAAGTTTCTTTTCTTTTCTTTTTTGAGTTGAGTTGAGTAGAAACTGGGCTTTATTGAAAAATTATTTTTATATCAGTTCCCAGACTTGTCATGAGGTATGGGGATGAGAGAGGAGGTCCAGAATCTTAGTAGGAAAATCATACTGTGATTTCTAATGCCACTTAAGGTAAAGGTTCCCCTTTACATTTTTAGTTTCCAACTCTAGGGTGTGGTGCTCATCCCCGTCTCCAAGCCGTAGAGCCAGCATTTGTCCATAGACAGTTTCCATGGTCATGTGGCCAGCACAACTAGACATGGAATGCCGTTACCTTCCCACTGTGGTGGTAGCTATTTATCTACTCACATTTACATGCTTTTGAACTGCTAGGTTGACATGAGCTGGGACAAGCGAAGGGAGCTCACTCCGTCACGTGGATTTGATCTTACGACTGTTGGTCTTCTGATCTTGCAGCACAGAGGCTTCTGCGGTTTAACCCACAGTGCCACTACGTCCCTGGTGGCAGTTACTTGCTAGTGAATAAACCGATGTTCCAGTGGCCAGTATTTGGCTAGTATTATTTGTAAATATTTAATTTGCTAACTGAATATGTTTTGCCTCAATACATAAGTTAACTACAAAGGTAATGTGGCTCTGATAGATTACCTTCTCTTTTTCTTCTGTCCTTCCACATAGCATGGCATGCTTGACTTTTCAGGGATCATTTTCCGCAACGCCTGCTCACTGCTTTGTAGTACATGCTTGTCTGGGTCCTTCTGAGTGACTGGATGGGGCTTTTGTTCCTTCTACTTCTGTGATCTAATTCCTAAACCTCCCTATAAGTTATTGTGATCATATTAGCAGAAAGCATTTTAAAATTCAAAATAAGATTAATAAAATGCAGTGGATTAGTTTGAGAAGCTTTAACATAGATAATTCAGGGAGGGAGCTGTGTATACGTAGAGTTCTGCTCCAAAAGTTGACTTTGTAAACTTATTGCAATTTCCATCAAGAATCTGTGTGGGTAATTAAATATTTGCCTTGGGGAATTATTTGCAGTTAATTAAAATCACGAACTTACGATGCATACCTGCTTTACAGATTATTAAATTTGGATCAGATGTTAACTACCCAGGTTTCTCCTATATCCCGCAAAGATTGTTTTTGGCAGACTTAAAGCCAGTGCTTCCATGGTGTTCTTTGGCCCACTGCCCACTACTAAATAAAAGTTTACAAAGCACAAGCTTAGGGAAGTGAAATGTTAAGCTTTAGCTGGAGTTGTGGGCTTATTCCTATGAATCTCAAACTTTGTACTGTCTAAGTGTGTTACGCTACAACTTCCAGAATCCCTCAGGAAGCTGACTGGTTGTGGGATTAAGGAAGTGGTAGCCTAATCCATCCAGAACGCACCCGCTTGGGAAAGGTTAGCATAGGTTATTAATACAAAATATTTATTTCACATTTGCAGGGCTATTTCTGATTAAAACATGTATATGTGTATATAACTTAGTATATGATAGTTGTCGCAGATGTCATGGCTTTCTATCAATCTGCTTTTACACAACTGCTGCTTTGATAAAAATTGCATCTTTTTTACATGTTGGTACACTATATACCAGCTATAGTTGATAAATGTTCAATGAGTTATTAGACATCACATTGATCTAAGGCTAGGAATCAGAATTTGTGATTCAAAGGAGAGTGACGTTGTATTATAAGCACGCTGCTGAACTGAAATGGCAACAGGGAATTTAGTTATTTAGTCCTTTTGTTCCCGGCCACTTTTTGTTACCTCAGCACCATTGTCATGTTCTTGTGGTTTTTTTCTTTCCCTCCTCCATAAAGTGTTAACTACTACTGGTAGGAGCTAGGAACTGCATAGCAATGCAGTAGCAGAGTATGGATGAGCTTTATCACAGCTTAAGAAGTGGAAGAGGAGGAGCTTCAGATGAGGCTGCCTTTTCTGTGGCAGCCCTGTGTTTAACCCATTCTCTCCCTTCTCCCCTTAGCAGTAAGTATGAATGCTTATGGATCTTAGTTAATTCACTGAGAACTATAGACAAGGATCGCTGTTTGTATGTAAGGTGCATGTGAGGTGATTGCACATGCTCTCTAATCAGATAGGTTGGGATATTGCTTTGTCATGGCATCATAGGATGAGAGAGATGGTTGGATTTAGCCCCTTCACTTTCCCTCAAAAGCTAGGTTAGACTTGACTGTGCTGAGTGACAGCTAAAGGATGTGCCTGTTGATCCCATCCAGCAAGAGCTCGCTGCATTGACAGTTCCAGATACTGAACTAGGAGAAGGAGGTTGCCCTTTGCAGGACACGACTTTGCATATACAGCTCACTTTTATTTGATCTGGGTGCTTGGCTATGATTTTACTGTATCACGTAATAGCCTGTCACAGTCTGAATTGCAGTGGAAGGGTCAAAGGGTTGTAGTAGTCCTTCATTGTACCCCAGCTCTTCAGTCTGTCATTGAGGCTGTTCTTTCTGATAGTGGTTATGAGTAGGCCAGGCTTGCTTTCCCAGACTTAGCAGCTTGAGTTGTTGATGCCCCAGGAATGGTCTACAAGTACCAGTGGGGAGGAAAAGGACCCAGTAATGTGTGGAGCAGGGTCAGTGAGAGAATTTGTCATCCAGTGTTGCACCCTCCTAGTTTAAGACCAGATCCTAGTGTGGGATTGAGTGCTGTTGCCCAAAATAGAAGGCACTCCCGAACCCTTTGGAGGCTCCCCCTGCCCCCCTGCGAGGCCAGTGGGGGTGAAATCGCCAGCTTCCAGGACCTTTCTGAGACTTGGCAAGCCTCAGAAGGGTCCTGGAAAGTCACAATTTCACCCCTGCTGGCCCCGCGGGGGGAGCCTTTGAAGGGTCCTGGAAGGCACTCTCGGATCCATTGGAGGCCCCCTGCCATCCCCCCGCTGGGCCCTGGGGAGCGCTGTTTTACAATATTCGGTCCATAAGACACAGGCACTCCCCCCTTTTTTGGGGAAGAAGTGTGTCTTATAGAGCAAAAAATACGGTAAATTGATCTGCTTATTTGGTCAAGAGTAATATGGTACATTTGAGAAATTACTAGGATAACTGAAGACAGCTCTCAAGGTGCACTCTGCCTTGATCATCCTAGCCATCAAACCTACTGAGGTCTGCATCGCTCTCTTCTGGGTTTGCTTCTTTAGCGTAACAGAATACTGAGGAAATGGAGCAGAATGTTACGAACTCCTTTTGATATTAAAAATAGATAGAATACATTTGTATGTGAATGCAAGCATGTTTATACTTTTAACATTTCAGGATTTCTTTAAACATTGGGAAATAGCATTAACTGTGGTTTAGCATAATATGAGTATCTTTCATTTTTGAATGCATCATATTTAAACACCTTTGGACTTATCAGAAACACTATGTAAAGATTATTCAGTAGTAAATCTGCAGAGACACCACTTCAGTTTAATTTTGTTTTTGTATTAGAATCTTCTCAAGAGTCCAAAGCTACGCAACAGCCTAATCCAAAGCCTCGTGCAATCTGTGAACAAGAGCAAGCTGATGGTATGTTTTCCATCATAATTCTCTGTGGAATCTTAGTAATTAATCAGAGGAGACCATAAGTTCTGTTAGTTATAAAACCCAACTTTTTCTTCACATAGCAAGTCAACTTTTTTTATTACATTTCTGAGGGAAGCATCAATAACCTTCGTTGAACAGCAGTTGCAAGCCATTCAGTCTGAGTAGCACAAATCTTGAATGTAAGCAGAAAATAAACAGACCTTTCAAGCTAACTTGTTATGCTAATATTGATCCAAGGTCATACTGTAACTTTGTTGAGTCTTGAGGCAAAGAAAACAAATCTTGCAGTTCTTGCTTTCTTTATCTTTTCTTTAAATGAGCATCAATTCCTGTTTAAGAGAAGGCGCACGCTGGTGAAATATTTTGCTTATATTTCAATAACAGGTTACTTATCTTTATTGTTACGGTCGTCTTAGAAATGTATGGCAGGAACCCTGTATCCATAGGGGATCGGTTTCATGATGTATCATGGATGCCTAAAACCACTGATACAAGGAAATCCTTTATATAACATACAAGGGGGCAGAACAAAGGGCACAAGGGGGCATCCTTGTATGTTGCATATAGGGTTTTGAGAAACCGCAGATAAGTGAAACTGTGGATACCAATCCTGCGGATATGGGAGCCCTACTGTTGTGGACATTATTATCATGTTGACATGATCTTCCAATGTTTGGTATTGAAAGGGCTCCCAGATGATTCTACAGAGGCTGAGATGAACACTCAGACAGATTCTCAAGTCTCCTACATGGAAACAGAAGGTATTTTTCTCTACTTTATGAATGAGACATAGATGCAGAGACTTCTCAAATAGACCATATTATACTGGTTATCAATCTGGTCATATTATAGCCATTTAGCTATTTTACTATAGCAGGTTCTAGGTCCAGAACAAGCATAGGAAATAAGCATGTCGGGATCCTAGATTACACCCATTTCTTAAAATGACCAGCTTGAAAATTGTATTATTGCTAAACTTGTAGATTTTTCTTCTTCTTGGTGCTGCTACACAATTGGCCATATCGTATTTCAGTCAATTAGGCAGTCTACTTCATATTTGAGCAGTTACTCAAATGTTTCTCAGCCCATTTAAACAATGATATTAAAGACATTACAAGGAGCTTAAGTTTCCTTATGCTACAAAACCGTACACGTCTGCTGAGATATAAGCCCTGCTCAATTTGTGTGAAACTTATTCTCAGTAACTGGATGCAGAGCCAGAGGTTGGGAGCTCAATTCCTCATTGTGCCTCCTGTGAGTGGAGCCAGACCAATGTGTATGAGGATTGTGTGGTGGAGTTCTGTACCATTTTGGATCATGGGCATCGACTTTATTACATTAAGCTATGCATACTCTCATGTTCTGTGTAATCTTCTTTTCTTTTCAGAATCTTTGACAACCCAAGAGGAGACCACAAAAGAAGAGAAAGCACACATTCCTGAAGTAGATGCAACTAATCAGGAGAACAAAGGAGAAGAAAAGGGTAAGGCAACATAAAAAAAAGAATAACCGGCATATGCATAAAGCGCAGTAAGATATCAGCTTTGTAAAAATCAGTGTTTTCCTTGAAAATCATGTTGATAAGAATAACTTGTTTCACTTCATTTCTGTTGTTAACTTAGTTGGGAGTGAAACAAACCATTAAGAATCTTAATTTTATTTTGAGAAACTCACTTTCCCAGGTGGTATCAAAATGTAGTGGGTAGTCATCTGACCTGCAACCATATAGTTTTCTAAGAGTTTGGAGAAGTTACTTTTTTGCAACGCAGCTCCCATAATCTTACTGCTAGCATGGCCACCAGCAATATCATCAAGGGCATTGTGAGAACAGTGGGTTTTTTTTTTAAAGAGTAACATTATTTATTATTTATTTATTTATTCAATTTATATGCCACCCATCCAGCAAATTACTATTCTGGATCATATACAACAAATTAAACATACATAATATAATAATATTACAATAAACTATCCCAAACATAAATTGTATCCTAAAACAGGCAGCAAAACAATTTCCAGAACACACTATAAAACTGCATGATTCTTCTCCCCCTTCCTCCAGTGTCCCAGCTGTTTGGGGAGATTGTCCCCAAAGGCTTCTCTGAATAGTTCTGTTTCCCAATCTTTGTCTGTAACTAAAGGAACAAGACTCTCTCTTGCCAGCTGAGTGGCCTATAGCCCAAACAGGGGACTTCTCCTTATTACACTAAGGAGTTGACCTCCTTGGACAGCAATTTGCAGCAATAATGAGGGCCTTTTGTTGCCAACACTAGCCTTAGGGATGGGATATGCAATGATACCAGTCTTGATTCTGACATTGTCCTTGATAGGTGGTTATCCTGTGACAATGCTAAGCTTTCTGTACCTTGTTGAGTAGGTTTGGTCTAAGTTGATTGCTTGAGTTACTCCGGTTCAGACTGCATGTAGGATCTGCTAGAGTGGTGGCTGTTGTGGAGAGATACCAGGTGACTCTGACATGTTATACTTGAATTGAAAGTGCTGTTTAGAAGAGGTTATAAAGGTAAGGAAACTGGTGTTTGTAAAATGGGTTCAGACTTGCTGAAATGGTAATGTTTTGGCATAAGTGCTGAGCGTTTGAGATGACAACTTGAGGCAAGGATTTCAGTGCAAGAAACTCTACAGAAAGTCCAGCTTTCACATTATACGTGTGGCTGCATTGTGCCCAGCCACTCAATTTCAGTAGTTGTTAGGCCATTTGTTGTGAGTTACATACAAGGGCTTGCTTCAAAAAAGGCCCTCCTTTGTGAGAGGCAGAAATCAAATGCTTTGAAATTCAAACCAGGCCATAGTCTTTGTAGAAAATCCAGGACAATGCTAACTACATCTTCCCAATTATGAACTTCTTTTGTCAGCTCCACTGATGCTGATTTAATTGCAAACCCTTGATTGTAATATTGACATTTTTCTGCATTGGAAATTCGGGTTAATAGCACTTACATTCTTCACTGCTCATATCCAGCTTCATGCCATTGTCTTTCTTTTTTTCAACTGCAAATCCAAGATGAGAATAATCACACTCCCTTTATTCTGCATGATGTTGACGGTATCAGCATTGTGTTTAATTACTGACAGTGATAATAAAATTGATATAATCCTTCCTGCAAATCTAGGTAAATGGTGCTACTTTTCTTTGCAAATCCGAGTTAGAAAATATAGGCTCATTCAAGCTGCAAAGGCCAAAACCATTATGCTAATTTTCCCTGCACAGAAATTATTTACATTTTATTTTATGCCTCATCAGAAGCAAGTTGAACGAAATGTACTTTCATTATTTTGTGCTTGTCCTTCTAATACTGTACAGTATTTACTACAGCTAGTAAAATCAATTTAGCTCTCCCAGTGGAGTGCATTACAGTATATTTCGCCATCTGCTTTACCTAGTATTCAGATATGTACCATTAGGGACTGTAATGTCAGAGGAGCTTTTGCTTGGCATTGGCATTGTTCCTTTCTAAAAATATGAGACTTGTATCAAGAGGCAAGGTGATCCTGTGTGCCCCCTTAAACTGCAGTAGCAAAAATTCTGGTTTATGTTGCTACAGAGAAAAGAGCATTGAGTGGCAAGCACACAGAGGCAGTCATTTGAATGGCCATCGAGGAAACTTTGCTCCTTTTCACTTTATCTGATGCTTTTTCTTTGTTAAAATGCCAATTTTTGTGTGGAGGGCTGTAATAGGACAGAGAAGTCTTGTTTCACAAATTCCCACACTGGACCTTGTATTGAACCGCTGGCAAAGACTTTACCTGTTTTGGAGCTTTATAGAGTGCTTCACAGGATAAAGCTATAAAGTAATGCCTTTTGGAAAATCAGTGTAGCAGAAAAATATGTTGGATCAAATTGGATTCAGAATGTTCTTAGCTGAAGATATTTCAGGTTTTACTGATGGCATAAAAAGCAAATCCATGCGAACTTCTATACTAGCCTGTATCTGCACTGCGTAGTTATATCATTTTGATACCATTTCAGTTCTCATGGGTCATTTGTAAGGAATCTCTAGAGCTCATGTAGTGGGCACATAGAGTTGCAACTAGATGGAGATACTGGTATCACATAGCGGGTTGTCTTGCAGTACCCAAGGCACTGATTTGAGTCCATAAACAGCATGTAAGACATATCACATTAATTTGCAAACATTGCTCTTGTGTCCTATTAGTTCACCAAAATGCATCTTCCATAAAGGTGGAAGTCATAGGGAAGTTGACAATCTTAGATGACTTGAATTCCCAAACGTGTGAAATAGAAAATAACAAAAACTTATTTTTAAAGCTTTTTTGTGTGGGTCAGAATGAAATAGTGGACTTGGTTTCATGTACTGGAAATTGTCAGCAATGGATTTCAGAGATGAGCCAATCAAACACAATTTCAGGAGGAAAGTTTGGTATGACCACATGTTTCTTTTATAAGATCTGGTGGAAAAGAGGGGCTGTCAGAAAGTCTGTGGTGGCCTACACTGTATTAAAGCCAGTTGAAGTAGGTAGTAAAATCAAATGTTGCAAACCAAAGCAACTCTTCTGTTGGCTGGTCATCAGTGAATGGCATTTCATCCTGGTAAGGATGATTGTGAAACATGTCCAGCAAACTGGATCTTTTTTGCTGAGAGCTATTTGAGGAAGAATGTAAGAGGGAACCTAGCATTTGGCTGCTGAGATTACCTCAAGCCATATTTTATGAGCAGCCAAGAGTATTTCTGTGATACCTGGTATGATTGTAGAAGAGATGCAGGAATAATTATTTATGGATATTCACGAATATTTATTCATAAGGCTTAAATATCAAAATATGGCTTAAAAAACATGAATTTTGTGTTAGGTTTCCTTTTAATCTGTTCACAATAAATATATATGTATTTTGGAATGTTCACTTTGTTGAATAAGTTGTTGTTGTTGTTGTTGTTTAGTCATTTAGTCGTGTCCGACTCTTCGTGACCCCATGGACCAGAGCACGCCAGGCCCTCCTGTCTTCCACTGCCTCCCAGAGTTGGGTCAAATTCATGTTGGTTGCTTCGATGACACTGTCCAACCATCTCGTCCTCTGTCGTCCCCTTCTCCTCCTACCTTCACACTTTCCCAACTTCAGCATCTTTTCCAGGGAGTCTTCTCTTCTCATGAGATGGCCAAAGTATTGGAGCCTCAGCTTCAGGATCTGTCCTTTCAGTGAGCACTCAGGGTTGATTTCCTTTAGAATGGATAGGTTTGTTCTCCTTGCAGTCCAGGGGACTCTCAAGAGCCTCCTCCAGCACCACAATAAGTTGAATAAGTTAGCATGTGGCAATCCTAAGTAGGGTTGTGGGTGTGTCAAAACAGAAGACCTAAATGCCTTTCAGAGTCTTGCCTACTTCTGTATGCCATGGCAGGAGGTGAGAGGTGTTGTAGGAGGTGTGATGGAGAAAGGAAGTTTGCTTATACGTGTCTCCGTATGGTTCTTTCTCTCCTTAAAATCTGTTGTCCATTGCTGTCGATGGTACTGAATGAGACAGACCAGTGATCTGACTTGGCTCAAGGTACTTCTTAGTGTTCACAGTCCACCATTCCAAAAGACAGCTCTTAAGTCAGCCAGCAAATATGACAAGCATGCTTCAGGAAGAATGGATGAGTGCACTTGCAGATCACCTCTTGTTATGCTCACTAAAGATCTTGAACAACCCTGCATGTTCAGAGTCTGTTCACTGTTCCCAGAGGATGGACAAGTGAACTCCATAACTGTTCTCCTTTCATGATAACATCATCTCACTACCATCGCCCTTGCCTACGAGCTCAACCACAGAGATCCTCCACAGGGACTTAAAGCCCATTCCACCCGGGCTGTTGCCTCCTCCACTGCCTTACTTCGTGGCGTCGACCTGCCCGACATCTGCCGGTCCGCTACGTGGTCTAATGCCTCTACCTTCATAACCCACTACAGATTGGACGTGAGGGCAAAAGAGGAGACCAAATTCGGGAGGGCAGTGCTAGCATCGGCTCTTCAGTGACAGCCCACCATCCGGTTAGTAAGCGTGCTAATCACCCTTTGTGTGCATTCACAGAAGACCACGATGAAGAAAGAAAGGTTACTTACCTGTAACGATGGTTCTTCAAGTGGTCATTCTGTGAATTCACACAATCCCGCCCGGCCTCCCCTCTGTCTGTCTGTCACTGGCGTCTCTCTGACTCGAGGGCCTATGGCGGACAAATGGAACTGAGGGACGGTTAGGCTGGGCGTGCGCAGTAGGGGTAGTCCTAAACATTGTTACTTTTCTCTTGCAGCTAGAAAACGTTCCGAGAGGCCCAACGCTGGCGCTGGTATTAACCCTTTGTGTGAATTCACAGAATGACCACTTGAAGAACCATCGTTACAGGTAAGTAACCTTTCTTTAATTTGAAAAGATGAGTTTATTGTCATGTATTATTTTTGTATGAAACTTCCTTGCCATGACTGTTAACTTACTGAAGTTTCCAACCACTGATAAACAGCAGCAGGAAAAT